GAAACCAAACTAGACTAAAATGAATATCTAAAATAAGTGGAGATTTGTTGTATTTCGAGCATTTTTTTTAATAAATAAAATTCGATGGAAACTCTATTATATTTTGAGTATTTCTTATGCTCAAATATTTTTTGCCCGCGACACCTAGAAGAGTGTGGATCAGTCGGTTGATTATGACTTCCCTCTAATCGAGGAACATCTTTTCCCATATTTCCCATGACTGGGAAAGTGAAGAGTGCGCTTATGGAGAGAAGGTTCCTAATGTGGGGCACCGTATAAATGTCGCTTGTAACACTCTAAATCTCAAACATTTATTTCATAACATATGAGGAACAATTTACTAAAAAAGGTGTCACATTTTCTTAGCATAACAATGAAATTAAATCTCAAGACAACTTTAATTGTCTCAAAAATAAAATCAACTTCATTTTAAATCATGAAATGAACAGTTCAACAACTTGCAGAATAAAAAACAAAAAACGGTATGCCCATCCCAGTGTTACACTATCAAAACGATACACAAAAACTAAACAACTCTAAAACGATAAATAGCAAAGAAGAGAAACTATGTCATCCTATAACACAAGCAACAACTAAATCTCTTCTACCGAGTATCTGCACCACAAGCATAAAGACAACATAGAGAACAAACAGAGAGTGAGAATACATTCACATATTATAACGGTGTATAAAAACAATAATGATAGAACAATTAGCATAGATAATCAATCACACAATTCATCCACAATAATAATCATTCACAAATGCAATTATATATGTATTGCATTAATGCCCTACACTTTAATGCATGTGGTACCAAAGTTTTGGATGTCAGAGTTATATTACTAATTAATCAACTCGTCAATGTTTCCTCTCTGAATGTGAAACTTGTCAATGTTTCCTCTCTGAATGTGAAACTCGTCAATGGTCCCTCTCGGAACTTGAAATTCGTCACTAGACCAAAGTTATACTAGTCAGTGAACCGAAGTCCTACCTATCTATGATATACATGATGCATGAATATGATAAACAAATGCAATACTAGTCTCAAACCTCTAACTTCTATACTCGTCACCGATTCCTCTATGTACCTATAACTCAACATGAACATCGTCAATACAAGACCACAACAATGGTTCCTTTTTGAACTAAATATCTCAGCATACTCAACACTTCCCATCACAACTCAACATAATAATTAAAATAATTATTTAATTTCCTCATCAATATTCATCAACATCATCAAACAACCATCAATATTCAACAAGGCATGGTCATAACAACAATAAAACTCACAATTAACTCTAACAACTTCTATTCAAATATTAAGGGTTACATGTATAACTTTTACATTATCAAGAACAACTCAAACTAAACCCATTTAATTCTCAAGCTCAATTATAAATATTTCAAATAACTCAAACTCAACTCTAGGAATATCAAATAACTCAAATTCAACTCTAGGCAATTGATCTGAATTCAACTCATTTAATTAATACAACTCTAAATATATCAAACTCAACTCTAATCATATCAAATAACTCAAAACTCAGTTCATTTAATTATCAAACTCAAATATAAACATATTCACATATTATTTTACACAAATATATCATCAAATATTGAGTTTGTGTCCTAAAACATTAACAACTTAATTCACAGTATATTATCAAAACAACCCTAAAATAATGTTTCATGCTAGTCGTACATCATATTAGAATAGCTATTTAAAATATCAAACGGAGTCGGAATCAAGAAAATGAATATGTTTAGAAAAGCTTAGAGTCTATATTTTGAGACTATGATTTTTATTTTATGACTTAAGATCTCAATCTTTACAGTTTAATCAAACAAAAGGAAATGGTGCAGACCCCAGACAAAATGTTTGCTACTAGTCATACCTCAGGTTCGAACAATTCCTTAAAATATCAAACACAGTTGAAATCAAGTAAATGAATATGTTTTTGGAAAGATTAGAATGTCTATTATCATACTATACTTTTTACTTTTGTGTGAATAACTTAATTTCTTATCTGATATCCTAGTGGGAATATGTGTTTGAAATAGAAACCATCAATAATATGGTTGGTTTTGTTAAATTGAGTGCAAAGCATGAGTACTTTAGAATATCCTCTTCCTCTGCCGCGACCCATGGAATTAGAATTGTTAGCAAAAAATATTGTGGAATCAGTGGTGGAAGGTTAAGGAATATCTACTTTTTTTTGAATAATGAGCAAGTAAATGCAATTAATATTAAGAATGGGGTCCAGGATAAAGATTTGGGTATAAATGTTATTGTAAAAGTCATTCAATCCTTTGAGGAAGTAAGGAATATATTTCATATGTTTGTATTTGTAAAAAAATTGGCGAGATTGCAGGTGCCAGAAATTTACAAGAACAAGATGAAGTTGGAAGAAGATCCTCAATATCGTCCCATAGAATCTTTAGTTTACTAAGAGAGCAATTTTTCATCTTTCTTGATGGAGTGAAGCTCCCTAAAAAGATTAGAGGACCAAAAATGACTACCCTTGGTGAATATTTTGTGAAGATTATCCTAGAACTCAAGAGCAGATCAAAGTTAATTATGCTTTGAGCAATGTGGGGTAAAAGGATTATGTTGATTCAGGAAAGAACCATGTTGGTTGTTTGATCCCAAAGCTCAAAATTAGGGTTAGATGAAGTTGGTTTTAGTAGGGTTTTGTTGATGAAAGATGAATTTTTCTTGAATGTCATAACATGACGCAACAAGGATAACACCTGAGTTTTTCGCCAGGATATAAGTGGTAAGTGTTTCAAGGATTTTTCGTAGTATCTTTGGGGATGATGTCGATAGTTGGCGAATCGTCACAAACAATGGATTTCATCCTATTGATCAAAAACATTGTGGGATGAATCAATATTGAATTTGCAAAATAAAGGGTGATGAATAACCCTAAAAAAATTGCAGAAGCAATAGAGAAATGAAAAAGAATAAAAGGGGATGAAATCTAATTGCTCCCGGATACCATATTACACATCATAACTATGATGTGTATGAAAGTAAACACATGCTGAATAACCTTAAAGACTTGACGTATTCATCAAATTATAAAATAAACATAATAGAAAAAAGCCAAGTGAAATATATACTTAGTCTATACACCTAAAAAAACTAATAACAAAATCCTAATAGAAAATAGTTGTGGTTGTGTAAAGGTCTTAGTGATTTTGGTTAATATAGGTGTCGCGATACGGATTACAATCGCTCCGGTGTGAATTAACAATATTTATTTTTTAACATAAAAACAATAATAGCGGTATCAGTATCGACATCTATCAATAATATTTTATCGCGAACGTTTTTGTGTGTGTATATATATATATATATATATATATTATATATATATATATATATATATATATATATATATATATATATATATATATATATATATATATATATATATATATATATATATATATATATATATATATATATATATAATATATATATATATATATATATGTGTGTGTGTGTGTTTGGTCCCTATAAAAAATATGACATGTTTTAGTCCTTACAAAATTATTATGCACGTAGTTTTAGTCCCGTTGGTAAACTGATATGTATTTTTTAATTATTATTTTACATTTATGTTTAGAACGTTATAAAAAGTTTCTCGAAAAAAAAACTCAAAAATTTAATTCTAAGTAGAATTTTTCATTACTTAATCAATATCTTTTGAAATTTAAAATATTTATATTTAATTTAGCTCATTTTAAAAAATTTTAAAATTTAGTAAAAAAATATTTTATAGTATTCTAAACACATATGAAAAAAATTATTCAAAAATTTAAAAGTTTAAGAGTAATTAAATCGTTTTCAAAATTTTTGAAAATAACAAGAACTAAAACTGCATGAATAAAAATTTCCATAGGGACTAGAATATGTCATTTTTTTATTAGGACTTAAAATAAAATTTGAGATATTTATAGGAACCAAAAACATATTTAAATTAATTGAATAATTAATATATCTCGCCTATATATTGATCAAATACCCTAATTATTCATAATATATATATATATATATATTATAATATATATATATATATATATATATATATATATATATATATATATATATATTAGATGGAGAATGATTATTAGTGGTGATTATTGAGTCACTAATTATTAAGTTGTTAATGATGAAAATGACAATTATGGAAGCTTCCTTAAACACGGCATTGTTATTGCTATCAAAATACGTTTTGCATCTGATCTGTTGCATTATTTGGAGTTTTCTTGTAGGAAGGAAACTTCTCTACAAAATAGCATTGGCATACGTTTCCCCCAAAACTTGTTGATAAGTAAATAAAATATATTTATTTATGGTTGAAGTGGAATGACGTTTGTGTTGAAAGAGGAAAGTAAGTTATCTTAGTTAATACATGAGTGAATTTAATACATGTGATTTAGTTAATGTGAGTAGTGGTGAGTGATTTTGTTTCACAAGTGAATGATTGAGATGGAGACAAAACACATTTGAAAAGGCCGGCACCATTGAAATTGAAGGACAAGATAGTGGGACATAATGATATTAAATTTGGTTGAAAGGTTTCATCTCGAATTTGAGTTCAAAAAAATTGTGATAGAAATTATTATCTTAAATAAAATTGATTCATATTTCTAATATGAGTCTCTAAATGAATGAATATCCAAAGTCTAACTCATGTAAACTTTTATACAAACTTTAGTGTAAACATTGTGAGCATAACGCAACAAGAAACGGCACGTGGACTCAAAGAAAAAGCTATAAATAAAATAATCAAGGTTGTAAGGAAAGATGACATATGTCCTAATGAAGCTGATCTTGTTGAACCAAACTCTCAACCGCTTGGACTACTAGCCAACCTTTACCTTGTTGTTTCATTTTCTTGTCAAATCTTCTAACCTGGTTTTGGTTTCTTTATCAATTGACCCTTGATGCTTTGTTAGTTTGGAAGTTGATGAAAAAAGAAAACATGGGTTCTTCTTCAAAAGTTGGGAATAGTAGCTATGATTACTCTTTTAAGGTTTTGTTGATTGGTGATTCTGGTGTTGGCAAAAGTAGTCTGCTTCTCAGCTTTATATCAAACTCTAACTCACTTCAACACCTCTCTCCCACCATTGGTTAGAGAAGAATACTGTTTTTCTCTTCTATTTTACTTTTCTAGTGTTGGGGAAGAATACTGTTTTTATTTCTGATACTATTAGGACATGTTCATATTCCTATATAGCTTGGTAGCATGATGAATTTTAACACTTTAGTTTTCTTGTTATGGGTTTTGTTACAGGAGTAGATTTCAAAATCAAGCATTTTACAATTGGTGGTAAGAGATTGAAGCTTACTATTTGGGACACAGGTAGGTGTTTTTGCTAGTTTATATGAAATCTTCTAGTGGTGACTTCTTGCATTTAGATTATAATGTTTAGTTTTTTTGGCAGCTGGACAAGAGAGGTTTGGAACTGTAATAAGCTCTTATTACAGAGGCACACATGGAATCATTCTTGGTATGCTTACAAATTGAATTTATTTCTTATATTATATACACATTTAGATTTATGTCATGTAAAGATGTAACAGCTTCTGTTCTTGAATTTTCTGATTTAGTGTATGATGTAACACGGCGCGAGACATTTACAAACCTGGTGGGAATTTGGGCAAAAGAGGTTGGACTTTACTCCACTAATCAGGATTGCATCAAAATTCTTGTTGGCAATAAGGTGGATAAGGTAAATTTCCCGGCGGTGCTTTCTCACTCGGGAAAATTCAGAGACAATTACAACTTGGAATAGAACATCAATCTGTTATTGTTTTTCACCTTTTCAGGAGAGCGAAAGAGCCGTAAGCAAAGAAGAGGGAATGGCTCTTGCACAAGAACATAGATGCTTGTTCCTAGAGTGCAGTGCCAAAACTAGGGAAAATGTTCAACAATGCTTTAACGATCTCACATTAAAGGTATCATAACATTTATACATCTCTACTGGTTACTTGATTTCGCTTACTAAATTCTGTGGTTCCTCCATATATATTGATTTACAGATATTAGAGGTGTCGAGTTTGCGTGAAAAAGGGTCTGTAGAAGTGAAGAGACAAAAGCAAAAGCGCATATTCGAGACATCGCAAAGAGGTGGTTGCTGTTCTTCTTAGAATGCTGCAATATAAATGCTCGAAAAGAAAGGATACTACAATTACTAGCTGGCCTTTGTATTATATAAAGGGTCACAAATCACACATAGTTTGGACTTTGAATGCTTGAGATGGATATTTCTCTGTCAATATCTCTTAGAGCCACAATATAGATGATACCAAAACTTCTCAATATTTTGCTCTTTTTCTTACTTTTGTTCTAGTTTTGAAAACACATAAATGTTGTACATCATATGTAAATATGTCTCTTGTTTGAATGTGCTAGGATTGATTTGATATTTTGGTTGTTTTTTTTTCTATTAGTTTAATGACTGAAATCATACCTTTTAAAGGTGAATAAATATCGTGGATACAGACCCGCATTCTGCGAACTGATATCTCTTCACAGTTATCAAATAGAATTTGGTTTGATTAGAAGGATATGCAGCAAATTTGTTATACTTTTAGCTTATAGAAAAAATCACAACAAAACCTTACCAATAATAAAGTCATATATAAATAATTTTTTTTTTATAAAACTCTACTAAAATGGTAAAGAAGCGTAGTTGAGTCTAACTCATCTCTATAAAATCAATTTAAAAATTGGTTTGTAGGGTGACGATTGTCTCTATTTATAAGTACATGTCTAAGTTATATATTTTTCGATGTATGACTTTTAACACAGATCCCCACACAAGATATTTGAAGCGAAATAAATGACGGGTAGTCTGATAGCAGAAACTTGATAGATGGCGGCCCACCGATTCTTAAGCTAGACTCTCGTATCATGTTTAGAAATGACAATTTCTCATTCCACCCTTATACATTCTCACCGCCCCTTCGCGAAAATCCCAAAATGTTCCATGTTTTCAGAAATGCATCTCCGAACGCACCAAAATCCATTTTTTTAAAATAAAATTCGGAGATGCACTATCAAAGTCAATTAAAGGGTGTATTAGGAGATGTATCTTCGAATACACTTTTTTTTTAATTTAAGAAACTAGTTCGGAGATGCATCTCCGAATAAGATGAACATATTTAAAGGTCGAGCCAGACCTTCCCTCTTCTCATTCTTCATTTTTCAAAAAAATAAAAATTTATCTCTACCTCTCAACCCATTTTCAGTACACACTTAATATCAAGTTTTGAAGCTACATTCACGAGTTTCTTACCATTCCCAATTCCATCTACCTATTGCATTCAACATCAAAGCACTCTACACCCTCACCAACACATTTAAGAGTAAGTTTCTCATTTAACTTATTTTGATTTTCGATTAATGTATTAACTCAAATGTACTAGTTTTAATGCAATAAGTAAGAACAGGAAGTAAAGAACAATGTATATTTATACTAGTTCACTTGAAAATTATTGAGATAATATAGTCCATCCACCGAGGTGATTTCGCTTCACTCAATCGAGGACTTAATTCACTATAACCAAACTGATTACAATTTGCACAAGCTATCTGCAAGTGACTAACAACCTCTAAGACTCACAAGTCCTAGACTTCTTAAGGATACATACCTATCCGATCCCTTAAGGAATATCAAACAATAATCAACCTAATTATTATAATGCACAAGCAACCTGCAAGTGACTAACAACCTCTAAAACTCGCAAGTCCTGGACTTCTTAAGGATACAGACCTACTTGATCCCTTAAGGAAAATCAAACAACCGTTTGAATACAAGTTTTATTTACAAGAATATTGCTTCTACACAAGCTGAATATGTAAACTATTTTAAGAATAGTGACTTAATAATATGAAAGCTATGAATAGCGTTCGCCGCGTGAATATTTCGTTGATTGATAACTTTCTCTCTTAGTCTTCAAGCCTTTATATAGTTAATAAAATAATGTATTTGTTGAAGGGTACTCTTGAGATTTCCAGAAATATTGGCAGCTTGAACAGTAGCGTGGGGGACAAGATCGTGCGACGCACCCGTCCTTTCATGATAGTGGAATGAAACGTTGATTGTACTATATACTATTTTTACTACGTTAACGTTATCTTTTTTTTCCTTCTGCACTTCAGAGGCTTCTGCGAGCATGAGTTTAGAAACGAGAACATAACACAAGGTCATCAAAACTTCAAGTCTTCAGAGTCTTCAAAATTGCGTCTTTAGAGTCTTCAACACTTGGTTGTGAGAACCTTTTCTTGTAACCTTGGTTATTTAGAACTTCAAGTCTTTATAATCTTTAAAACTTCTGTCTTTAGAGTCTTCAACTCTTGGTCTTTAGAACCCTTATCTTTAGAACCTTGGGTCTTTTAGAAATTTGACTCTTTAACATCTGGACTTGAGTAGAAACTTCTGTCTTCAGATCTTCTGTCTGTTTCTTTAGAATCCGTTGTCTTCAAAAACACAAGTCTTCAGCATCTGGACTTAAGTAGCAACTTTTGTCTTCAAATCTTCTGACTGTTTCTTTAGAATTCATTGTCTTCAGAAATATAAGTCTTAAGCATATGGTCTTAAGTAGCAACTTCTGTCTTCAGATCTTATGACTAATTTCTTTAGACAAATATTAGAGCTTACACTTCAGAGTCTTCTGGAGTGTCTTGCTACTGTTCATTAGAACTTGTGTAGCGTAAATATGGAAATAATTTTCTTCTAATGTCTTGGCCACGCCATCCATCAGAAGCATAACTTGTTTGTTAAGTACTCAACAATAACAAACATCAGAGTATCAAAATTGTCCATACAAACATACTCATTTGTTATCATTAAAACTCAAATATAATATTGTAGAACTAAATCTTGTTTTTACAATCTCCCCCATTTTGATGATGAGAAAACTATGTTTTTTGATGACACAATTTTTTTTATATAATCAGAAAAAATAAAAATAGAAAGGTAAGGAATACTTATGCTTTTTATGATACTCCCCCTGAGTCAATGAATTGATGAAGATCAAATATCCTGACTCTGAACCATTTAAGTAAAACTCCCCTGGTTCCAATAGATCAGATATCGAGATCTTGAGAGTCTTGACTATGGATGTCAATGGAAAAATTGAGATCTTGATGCCAATAGAATAATTGAGATATTGATTTCACAAAACTTCTTCTTATTGAATCTTGACTTTAGATGCCAATGAGAATGAAATCAAATTGAAATCTTTGAAACTTTAATGTCACTAAGACAACTCCCAGATTCTCAATTCTTGGAGTCCGATTCCAGATTTTACTTCTTGGAGTCTGATTATGAATTGAAAAATATCTTCTGAGTCTGAAGCCAATAGGAGTTTGAAGCCAATAGGAGTTTGAAGCCAATAGGTTAGACATAATGCTTTCAGATCTTCTTTAATCAGAGTTCTCATTTTATGAAAAAGAAAAACAATTCTAACAGAAATAGAAGTTTAACTGGGTTAGAATGTAAGCAGCTCTTTTCAGAGAACACTTTCCATAGATTGATTATTGAAATCAAAATTACGTTCATTTAATTATCCCCCCCCCCCCCTTTTGTCATATTCAAAAATGTAATTATGTGTGAAAAACATAAAAACCAGAAGAAACAACAGGAAAAGATAAGAAGTTTCATTGATATTCGAAGGAGATTACAACAGAACGAACATAGACAGGGAAAGCTATCTAAATTTCAAACATATCACAACTCTCATCAAATAGATCATTGCCTCTGATGAACAAATTTCTTTGAACAATTTCAATTATACCTGCTAACATAAACAGTTCAGACAATACACGTCCATACAGAATGAATGATTTTTGAGAGTTCCTGGATGCTAGGATTGATAGCTTCATATGATTGAATATTATTGCTGAAAGATGAATTGGATTATTCTTACGAAGTGTGATACGGTGGGAGAACTGACTGTTTTTGGAATGCTGGTTTTCGTTTTGCGTTTGTTTTCGCAAAATGTCGCGGTAAGCAAGAGTCGCCACCGTCTTTTATTTTATCCAACAAGGAAAGGAAAAAAAGCACAGAAAAATTCTTTTTTCGAGATATTTCTGAGTACGGGGGGTAGATTATAGAAAGGGAAGGTATTAGCACCCTTTCTATCTGTAGTTATCTACGGGCTCTTAGGTAATTTCTCATCATTTTCAAAATTGTTTTCTTTGTGCTTGTGGGTTTTGAAAAGTTTTTGTTTTGACTTCGATTTAACTCTTGCGTCTGTCTTCAAGAGTGTAATGAAGTGTTTTTGAAAACTTGTTTGTAAAAGAGTGTAAGTGTGAAGAAAGTTTTGTTTTGAATGAGCAAGTATCTAAGAACTAATCTACCTACTCGAAAAAGGAATCATTCTATGTTTGTTTCCTTTAGACAATGCTATCCCACTATTAGCGAGTAGGTAGCACAATCATTGGAGTTTGAGGGTCAATTCGAGAGAGGAACATACGGTCACTAAAGCAATGTTAGGACGTCTTAGTGGTAATCCTAATGCCTTAGATCATTTATTCGACCTCTAAAACAACCTATACTCAATGACCGTTTACAAAGGCAACCAAGTGAGGTGTATCCTAAGAGTGCGAATGTGCGAATGTGTTGATTTCAGTTCTTTTTATCTTTGCACAATTAAGAGTGATCTAACTGTTTTAAGATTAAGCACTCATTCTTGTCATTCAAGCCCTATTATCAAACATCTAACAGTTGAATATTTGCATAAATTAAGGTGCGAAATTTAAACTAACTATTACAAGGTGTCGGGTATTTACATCGCCAAAGACAAACCCTTTGAAATTTAAAAGCGGTGAAATAAATAAATGTCCTAATTAATTATTACAAACCGGGAGCAGATACAGTAATTTGGATAAAGAAAAAATAAAGCGCGCGAGGCAATTGGATCGAATGCAAAACTAGGGTTTTGACCCTCCTAATTAAAAGAAAATGCTTCTTTTTTGTTTTTAATATTTTTTTTAAGAAAATAAATTAATTCCTAAAATTAAATGCTAAATTAATTAGTTAATTAAATTAATTAATGAAAAAAAATTAAATGTCATATTTTTGGATTTTTGGTTATTTTAGGAAAGAAATAAAATAATTAAATTAGGGTTAAAACCTATT